GGGGGGGGAGGGGGTACAGTTGAGGTCCCTATTCATTGCCGGGGTGTGCGCCGAAATTTCACGGGCACTGAACCGGACACCGGCACTATTCGAAGTACCGAACGACTTGGTATTCCGGTGTGTGCGAGCCGAAAACACCGGCACTATAACGGCCTCCGGCACTATTCAACCGGCACTAAACAGGGACCTCTACTGTACTCATACTCATAGTCGTGCAGGCCGTTGTCGTTGGACCATTGGCCTCGCAACCGGGGGGATGGGGTTTACTCCTGCCGTTGCTGCTGCTGCTGCTGCCGTTGCTGCTGCTGCTGCCGTTGCCGCTGCTGCTGATGCTGACGTCATGACCGGGATCATGCCGCGACCCGACCTTCCCTCTGCGGACCACATCTCCCCCCCTCATCATAAACAATATACACCACGTGTTTTCTTCGTGGACACAGCACACAACAGCAGTTTTCTACACGGAACGTACGTACGTACGTACGTACGTAGCCACCAACAAGAATCGATCAGCTTCTTTGTCCGGGTGTATGAACGCAATGCGTACAGCAGTAGCGCTGGGTTACTGCTGGCTTGGCTTGGCGGCTTCACACACGGAGAGAGCGCTCCTCTTTCGCGTCAATCGGCGGTGGGGGGACAAGACTCGACACCGATGCATTGCATGCACTACAATACCTGTCCGCGTAGCGCAGGGTGTTGATGGTGTGGTCGGCCGCGGAGGCCCCCGGCGAGACGGTGGCGATCATGACGGTGCGAGCCGCCTTGCGCGTGAAGCTGTCCTTGAGGACCAGCGTCAGCTTCGAGGCTCGGTAGGGCACGTGCACGCTGTCGCTGTCGAGGGCGCGGATACACTCCTGCCAGGCGTCGTCGGGTGGGGCGGGTGTTGCTCGCGGAGAGGAGGGGACGCGGCAACCAGGTTAGAAGGGCACCGGAAGGCTCCCAGCCTCAAGATGAGAGCGTGGTCAAAGTTCGAGCAACGACACAACAGCCTCCCGACGGGATAATCCCCCCCCCCTCGGGCGGCGTACATCTGCAGAGGGACTGCGCAGCCAATAGCACAAATACAAGCTACAAGAGGGGCACCGCCGCTCTTCCCCCAACCCCCCTCCCTTTACCTACCCCACCGCGCTTCGCATTTGAACAATGCTCCCCCTCCCCCGCTCCCTCCCCGCCCCCCGATTTCGGCTGATCAAAGTCCAAACGGAGCCGCAGTGACGCGAGGTCAACGGTCTAACGACCACGGCGTGCACGGCAACAAGTACACCCCCCCCTAGCCTCCTCCACGTCCAGTCGTACGTCGAACTCCACGATGCAACACCCGCAGCGCACCTTGAGGGCCAGCAGAGACTTGTTGATATCCGCGCCCTCCATCCTCCGCTGGCGGTTGTGGCTCTTGGTGTCCGCCCCCCTCTCCGACCCGGCCAGGTCGATGAGGCTAAGCTTGCCGTACAAGCGGCCATTCGAGACGTCTCGCACGCAGATCTGGCAGATGGCGTGGGATCTGCAAGAAGGGAGGAGGAGGCGGAGGAGGAGGAGGAGGAGGAGGAGGAGGATCGGGTGGGTGCACGCAAGTGCCAGGAACAACAAACGTCAACCGGACCATCCTCCCCGCGCTACCACCCCAAACATACCGCCACCGAACATTGAACCTACCTGGAGCTCTGGTCGTTGCTTTCCGTGGCGTGTGTGGTGCGGTTGCGGTTGCCGTCGGCGATGAACTCCTCCAGCCCCTCCGCGTCCATGGCCTCCTTCTCCTGCAAACCCGCGATCACCACCTCGCCCTTCCCGTCTTCCCGAACCACGCATCGATGCCTGAATGGATCGGTTCAGCCGCGGGAGGATTGCAGCCCGCGTCAGAATCACAGCCGCGTCAGGCGCACAGCGGCCACACATTTGTTTTTTCTTTACACTCTTCTTGGATCAGCCAGAAAGGCTCGGCGTTGCTGTATCGAGGAACCTTTTGAATAACGACATCGGACAGGCATCCGCCTGTCCTCGCTAGCCTGGTCACCAAACCAGACCAGACGCAAACAACCGCTTCGACTACTACCACCACCCCCGTGCCTTGACTACCGTATATGACACATGATAACACACCCCCTTGACCAATTGTCGAAACTCGATTTCTCAACTCCAGGAACAGTCACAGCGCCGACAACGGCGGCGTTGAAACCGTCTCGTCAAGAGCTTTTCCAAAATGTATCGTTTCGTTTATGCATCCTCTTCGTCGTGGAGGAATCGAGCTTTGAAAATCGGTCCAGGGGGTGTGTTATCTTGTGTCATATATGGTAGTCCAGACGAGCACAAATGCCAACCCCAACTACAGCATCCAAACAACTACTGGGAGTCTATCACCAAAGCTACGGCCGCCTCCAAGCAATTGACAAACACGGAGCCCCCGGTCCGTCGCCGCCGCCATGTTTTGTGTACCGGTGGTTGAGCAGGTCCTGGCAACGCCCGCCGTAAATCTCGAAGAAGCTGACGTGCACGCTGAGGGACCCCCCGCCCGGCAGCTGCGCCAGCTGGTCGAACAGATCACTCGTGGCGTTTTTCTGACGGGGACGGGGTAATGTGGGTTGAGGGGAGACGTTGGTTGATGGGGGGNGGGGGGGGGGGGGGGGGGGGGGGGGGGGGGGGGGGGGGGGGGGCATACTCTTGTGTTGCACGCCTTAGCGGTTTGACCGTTGACCACGCGTACTCCAGAGGACGGAACACTGTTCCCACAAGACCGATCACCGATGACCAATCGTTCCTTCCCACTTTGGCAAAGGTGGCTCAAACATGGCTGCCTTAGCTATCTGTCCTATCGATATCACTGCCCGCCGTTTCAATCCACTCGCTATGCCCCAGTACAGCTACCGTCTTCTCCTGGCTACTCCATGCCTCAATAACTTCCCTGTATCTTTCCTTCTACTCTTACCAGCCCAGCCATGTACACTCCCCCCCTCCTTCTTGTACAACGGACATTCCGCCACCACACATGAACCCCGTCGGCGCGCGGGGGGGGGGGCGAGGGAGTACGTAGGAGAGAGCGAGAGAGAGAGAGAGAGCACCCCAACACGGACGGAAAGAAGTGACAAAATATACACGCCAATGCACGCACACACGAGGACAAAGTAAAGCATGACGCGGAATCGACGCTTAGCAACGCCCAAAAAGGTCGGACGCGGTCATGAAAACGAAGAGGGCGTGCCTCCCTCCCCGGCACGAGCGGCCACCGGTCGCCGTCACCGGCTGCCGCGGCCACGAAAGAGCGACCAGGCCAGAACACTACCAACTCCCCCGAGACTGCACCGTACTCGCCGGTCACGGTTGTTCGCCTCTTCTCCGAGACCCACACCAAAGTGCCTCCAAAACTCGCCCTGTAAGGCCATTTGTTGCAAGTTTTCACGGTCCCTCTATATGGCCACCTTTTTTCCCAAAAGCATCACTGGCAACGGAACCCCTTCTTGCCAGTTTGTTCTTTGGCAAAATGAAGACCGAAAAAACAGACAGCCCTTTTGGGACACCCCATCCTGTCATGTTTTTTTAGCAACTTGTGGATCGATCGCGGGTGCCAAAAAATGTTTCTTGGTCACATCTCCGTGACTCTTACCTACAAACTTGAATCTCTTGACGGTTGATCCCCGCAAACTCTAACGGTGGTCACACGAGTTGTGTCATGCGGCTGGTACATAGTCGGTAGCATTGGCGGTAGCCGTTGATTTTTTCATTCGGCGGGACCAGGTGGACAACCCGATGCGTACGGCAAAAGAGCCGAGAGAGCCTGGACGCAGCAGCGGCGGTTCGTTTTTCGCGTACTGTCAACTTTTTGCGAACCCAACTTCTGGGCGTCCTTCAGCCTCCTGGTCTGTATCAACCACCACACAAGACGGACCATACACACCAACTCTAGGGGGCTAGCTAAACAGTTGCTGCTGCTTCACTCTGTGCGGAGACATCACCGAAAAACGACATCGGTGGGGAGGTGCATCGTTGTAGAGGTCTCCGTATTTGGTCGATGACTCGGATGAGTAAATAGGATCGACCAGCACGGGAAGAAGCGGGTTGGCTTATTTGTAGTTCCTTTTTTGGTCGGTCCTCTTTGAAACAGTCAACCGGCCACCAGACACCGTTTTCATGGGAGCACAAAGTTGCAAGAAAAGACAAAGCGTGCAACTTTTCTCGCATTTTTTCCGTTAAGCGTGCGCTCGTTATGGGAGCAAAAAGTTGCGCCAAAAGTTGGTAAAATTGTGCTTTCTGACAATAATCGCGCCATCATAGCAAAAAATTGTGACCTTTTCTCGCGAAGAGGTTGTCGAACAAAAGTTTCGCGGCGAGATTTTCTCCAATCCACGTCAAGCATCTGCCCCTACCATAACACGTAGACCCTTTCCCACCACACACACGCACACGATCCACGCTATAGATGAACGACCAAATCATAATCTTGAACGACGAGTTGGGATTGCCTGCGATGGCCGCAGCTGGGAAGAATCTAATTGTGGAGTCTGCGTCAACAATTCGTGTTGGATGTGAGCATCATTGACGTCTTTCTGGCTTCGATTGGAAGGCACAACGCCAGGTTTTGTGCCACCAACTCGTTTTCCACGCTTTTGTTGCACGCTCTGGCCGGGTTCGCGGCCTGGTATGAAGGAGTGCGCTTGCTCCTCGCAATCGCTGAAAAAAAAATAACGCGTCCGCATTCCACCAGCTCTTTGAAGAAAACTCTCTCCGCCCCATAGTGAGCGTTCAAGAAAAGTGCTATTTACAACATTTCCACACCAAAAGTTGCCAGAAAACTTTTAACTGTTCTCGCAACGTAACTCTCCCAAAAAGAGCGGTGTAAACCACCGTAAATCCAGCAAGAACTACAAAAAACACGCACAAACACACACACTCGACACACCCTTCCGGCAGCACGTATTGCATCGGACACACAGAAAATTCCAGCGCATCAGCAACGACAGCAACAGCCAGCCTGTACACCTCAAGTCTCGACCTTCCCACCTGTATGCCGACCATAGTGTACGTTTTCCCTGAGCCGGTTTGCCCGTAGGCGAACACCGTCGCGCGCCCCCTGCTCAGCACGAACGGAACCAAGGGCTTCGCCGTGCAGTCGTACACCTGCCGCCGGAAGGAAGCACGGGGGAGAAAAAAAGAGCGGGAGTTCCATGCGACGCCGTGTGTTGGGTAAAAAAAAAGGGGTACAAGGATGCGTCTTCTGTTCTCTCTCTCTCTCTCTCTCTCTCTCTCTCTCTCTCTCTCTCTCTC